ATAGTCAGTGTGAATGGAAGTTCAGCACCAGGGACAGGACCAGTGTGAAGTCACTAGGAGGATAGTCAGTGTGAATGTAAGTTCAGGGACAGGATCAGTGTGAAGTCACTAGGGTGTATACTATGTACAAGAGTAATCAAAATCTTGCAAGAAACAAAGAAAAAGTTGACACTACCTTGAAGTTGTTCTCCTTGGGTTTTCTTCTCATGATGATGTTGAACGTTTCATACACATCCTGTTGGAAGGATGCAAAGAAAAGCTATTAATAGCTTCCACAAATTCATGACTCTCTACCCTCTCTATTCATACTGTTCATGACCTCTTTACTCCCACCATTTTGCTCAAGCCTTTCAGACTGTATTGTATTGACTATATAGTCGATCGGTGTAATATAGCCAGCTGCGGCCGCGCCGCGTGCCTGCGAAGCTGGTGTGTTACGCCGAAAGGCGGTTATACCGGCTATACAGATACAGATACAGATATAAAAAAATAGGTGCACAAAAAACTTTTTGGGTGCACCATATAAAACAAAACCTAATTACAGATCTTACTGCTCCTCTTCTGAGCTTGAATGTGATATGGGAGCTAACTTCAAAATCTTGCAAATCAAGTACTACAACAAAGATTTTATTATTTTTCTGATGATGGGATACCAAGAATATCCTGTGTATTCAATATGTACAAAAATACCTTCAAAAATATTTGGGTGCACCCACAGAAAAAAATTGGGTGCACAGCTCCAAATTTGGGTGCACTAAGGTGCACATGCACCCAGTATTGCCAGCCCTGCACTTGTTTCATGTAACTCCACTATTACATGTACATTATCCTTCCAACTCACCGCATCTGTCCATTACACCACAAACATTACACCATCACTGGTGAAAACAATACTGTACTTCCGTACTGGGAGTAACAATGAAGGCTAATGTAGAAGGTCCACACACCTCTGCACCGTCCATTGTCCTGGCCATGTCCACTTGGTACTGGTTTGGGTCCAGCCACACTCGGAATGTTCTGTTTTCCCCCGGCATGTTGGGTTTTGGCTCTGGACCTAATAATATTAACAGACACGGTTAACTGTAAAGTTGTTACTGGTAACTTACACATACATTAACCTTCTCCCTGATAAAGTAGACAATTGGCTCCAAATTTGAATTGTCTATGGCAGTGTTAGAAATACCCACCTGCAGAGACATTTTAAATATATGAAGTTCCGTGAACATGTCCGTGTTCATAAGTGACCTTTTTCTACAAAGAGAATTACAGTTGTAATAGGGCTAGAAATTCATTTATGGGAATAGGACTGGTGCACTGGTTGGGGTGCACCCCAATCTTGAACTGTTTCTGACACCTAGATGACAAGAACATGCTGTATGCTAGTATATATTTAATAATATCCTTACATTATGTAAACCTACAAAAATGCACCCACAGTAAAAAATTAGGTGCCCAGCTCCAATTTTGGCATGCACCCAGTATTTCGAGCCCAGCAGTATCTAGCAAATCGGCAGAACGTACTGCACCTGCACGAAATCAGCAATGTGCATGTAC